GGCAGAAGGTAAACATATGGAAAATGTACCTGCCCATGTCTATTAGTTCTGCAGTACATGATTACCTTCTCCAGTTTGTGGTCACATATCTCATAGCCTTGACAAAGAGCACTGTACATGGCCTACTGCTATGATCAACATGACAACTACTGAAGGGTGCAGTGAATATGAAAATATGTGTGACAAGATGTAACCAAAGCAAGAATAAGAGTGAGTTTAGTTTTGCACCGCACTCCGCAATATTCCAGCTATATGGCGGTGGTCTGTAAATAATTGAGTCTGGACCAGACAATCCAGTGATCAACAGCATGAGCATCGATCTGCGCAATTGGGAACCGATGACATGTGCCAACCTAGCCAAGGAGCCTGACCACCCGATCCCGTTAGTCGCCTCTTACGATAAGCATGGGTTATTGATGGTTCATTCTAACCCGGACCTTCACGGGTAGTAAGAATAAGAATATCTAGGACATGTAAAGAGGACTTCTAGGGTAACAGCAGTATAACATCATGATGATATAACCATATTGCCTCTGCAACATCACAGCCCTAATACTTCACAAGACAATATCCCAATAACAGTCCCATAATGATAAACATCATTACAACTGCCAATCTAGATAGTAATATCAGAATCATGATAAAATGGCGAATTATGATGTTCCAACATCACAAAACTATTGCCATAATATCCCTAAATTTCGTAATAATGCGGAAACATGCATTTTTTACATAAAAATAAACTAACTATTTAGCATACATGTTTTACACAGTGCTAATTGTACGCTAAAATCAGTACATACCAATATATGAAATACAAAGTTTACAGACATAAATGAATCCACAATTTGGAATCCCCAGTTGTTAATATTATATCTCAGCTAAATACAGTCAACTCTCGTTAATCCGACACTTGTGGTTGCAGAGAAATATGTCGGATTAATGAAAATGTCGGATTAATGTATTTGTGTGAAAATATCAATGTTTACTAAATGTCATGATCGTCATACTGTTGCATGCATATCAGAAATGGTAGATCTAGTTATCTTCATTGTATGTAAAAAATATTCACAGAAATAAAAAATACTAACAATACATACTTGTTTTCATTAACATCAAACACATCTAAGTGGTGTGTCAGAAATGTTTGCAAAGTGTTCAACGATGTTTTAGCCTCAGATAGCTTGAAGCATTGAAATCAGTCATAGAGACGCTCAACCACTAAGCAGACTGCTTCAGGATGTCAGATACGGTTGATCGTCCAATCTTCACATCAAACTTCTGCTTCTGATTAAATCGTCTCAATTAATTATCCTGTGTTCCTAATTAACAAGTTTGATGTTCACTGACGCCGCCGCTGTCAAGCAGCCAGTAAGGCACACGCAAATTATCACTAACGTGTGATTGTTTGTATACGGTCGGATCATCTGACCGGCTGTGTTGATTGTCGGATTAACGAATGTTTTTACACTGTATTTACAATAATCAGCTGCTAGATTGGTGTGTCGGAGTCAGAATGCGAGAATGTCGGATTAACGAGAGTAATTATCACTGTTTTAAATGGTTCCCTAATTTTTTTGTCGGATTAACGTGATTGTCGGATTAATGAGTGTCGGATTAACGAGAGCTGACTGTAGTAGCAAATCTCAACTCTAATCAGTGATCACACATCACGTGTCACACAAAACCCACACTTCCTATGTTGGTCTCTTTACAGAGAGTTCTTTTTCCATAATAAACACACCATGGCATATATCCCTTGCAATATGACATCACTGATGGCAAATGATAAATGAATGATGTCACTTGACCTCATTAGACCTGTTTGCTCCAAGTGGTGTAGGTACAAGTGTGTAATAGTCAATGCATAGCCTACTGTTTACATCCACATGTCACCTTGACATAAATGTTAACCTTCTTCTCTCACTTTGGTGTTGATTAAACTTGAGAATACATGCACATACACACAAAAGTATTTCACAGTTCGCTGTCACTGTAGGGAAAACAAAATTACCAAAAAATCACACTAATTTTGTGACACATTACTAATTATCTTTCAGTGTTATTTAGTGCATGTTTGAGAATCTAAACATTGAATATCTACTCAGAATTGAAATTAAAAAAGATATATTAGTCATCACAGGTATTTGTTTGGTTTAAACAAGTCATCAATGATCATTCTTAAACATAACAAATAACCATAGAATCACTTAGAATGGTTGGAAAATATGCAAACACAAATGCTGAAGTGAACTTTCCACTATACTGCATAGCTTTTATAAAGTCACATTTAGCCTCTCACATCACATATAATGCACACTTAACTAATACTACAAAGTCCCTCCGATTTTCTCAAACATTATACGATCAAATGACAAATGGTCTTTGTCACCAATACCAAGGGAAATCTACCAAAACCGACTAATGTGCTCAGAAAACTGCACTTGTTTGAAATGTAAACAAAGTAAAAATAAGATTGTATTTTAAGAGATACATTCGGTTTTGCACCTCCTGTTCAATACTTTAAGATGATGCATTGAAAGAGTATCAAGGTGGAGATCTAAGGTGTCCGGTTCACTTCTGAAAACAAAGGCCTCATAATGGCATAACATTTCAACACTTACATTAAGCTTTCTACTTACAATGGGAGAAAAATTAGTGAATACTTGAACTGTACACATACTTATACACATCCCTATTACCTGTTTAGTACAGTGAAACTGTTGATACATTTGTAAATCTACAATAGCCATAATACTTACAAAGGGGACACTTGATGAGTTTTTATCACATAATATTTATCACCCGCAGAAATCGGCGCCAATTAGTCATATGGCTTATTATGTGTGCATACATGTGTCAAAAACACTGATGAAGTTATACAAGAGATGATAGTACTGCTTTGTTATACCACAGAAACAACCTAGATATGAAGTACATATTACTATTATATATCACAAAGATGGGAAGCAGGGGAAGGGGGACACACCACAGTCTGCCTTAAGAACACTGCCAGACAGGGTGTTATCTCACTCCCGTATCACCTCCTCAATATCTGATACTGGTAATCAAGGGTACCACACTGTGACTCACCAGCATTCACTGCTGGGCCCTTTTTTCACCACTCTTATCTTTATTTCCCTTAGTTTAAACAACTGATTCATCAGTAGTTAATGATGTTAATCCCTCAGCAGATGGTTGAACTAGAGAGGATATAAAACAAAACTGACATTACAAACAGTTGAAACTGCTTGTGTTTTAATCTGACTGCATGTTTCTTATACTTTCAAACGAGTGAGAGAGTGAGTTTGGTTTTATGCCGTTTTTAGCAATATTCCAGCAATATCACGGAGGGGGCATACCAGAAATGTGCTTCACACATTAAACCCATGTGGGGAATCTAACCCAGTTCTTCAGCATGAGGGGCAGACGCTTTAACCACTAGGCTACCCCACCGTCCTACTTTCAAACGAAAATCTCAGTACATCCTTTCATGATTATCAAGAGTTCAGTGACTGTTTCAAATGTGCAGCAAGAGAGTGGTTGCAATTTACACAATTAATACTTATTAATATAAAAAGATATTGAATACTTTCTGCCCCCTGATTATGCAGATCCTAATTGGCCCCTTCCTCGACCCTCATCCATCCCACAAATCTCAACACTAAGGTGAACATAGCACCCATACGTGGACCTATGATGAGATCTATATGTGGGACAGGGCCATGGTAAACTTCAGAAACATTTAGAAACACAACCTGCGCTACTTCACATGTGCACAAGGCAGTAGGGAGCAGGTCGTATAATCATATGTTGAGTGTCCTGCGTTATTAAGCACAGACAGTGATACGTAAGTTGAAAACTTTTAATAAAATTTGAAACAAAAATATACATGCAATTTACTGAGATGATTTAACTTTTAACCTAATGTGTACTTTAACTCTTAACAAGCACCATAGACAATAGATTGAATTAAATCAACTATCCATGGGAAAGCTCAGAAGAAACACACCGCTTGAATCAGTATACCCTGATAAAAGTGTTAAAACCTGTAACCAACAATGAACACGTAGCCTTTAGAATAACAACCATATTTATAACTTAACATAAACTTGATAGCACTAGGTAGACACCATATTGATGAAGCACACATACACTGTTATGTTATTATCACCACAGAACACTTTCATTTCTCTACCAAGATTGCAATGTTACACAGGTTCTAGAGACTTAACCTCAATGGATCTACCAGTGACATCTTAACCTTATTCATGTATGACATTATTAAAACTTCAGCTGAAACATATTCTTCACAGACACCTATCTGTGTATCAGACTGAAGGTACCACTTTATAGTTATTCAACTAACAACAATATGGCTGACTCAAGACTGGCACAGTGTCAAAACATGCTGTCAATGACAGTTTTTCTCCATGTTGGAAATACGTTGCACAAATTCCATGAAATGAGTAAACTCCTGCTGTCACCACTCAGAGGAGTGGCATGGTGCTAGTTCAACAGATTGTACAAATCTAATTTAGTGTTAGGATCCAACACATCTCATCCATAAGGCCATTCCTGTTTACGTCTGTAAACAAACCCAAATGGTCCCTTTTATCTCTTACATCACTGAGTACATCACAACATAGCCTTGACCCGAGGCTGTACTATATCATTAGTCCAATTTATTTCAAATTTGTGTTGAGTTTTCTTTAAAAGTAGAGTGGTGTCTCACACAATATGGAAGCGGAAACATCTGGGCCTACTACGAATTCTCTGACCCTTGACTGTTGTGATTCTTAAAGCCAGACATGACAAAACATCATGTGACGAGACCAGTCCCTGTTTTATACACACAATGTCAAAATATCATCTGAAATATTCATGGACTAAGGACAAATACAAGGCCACACTCTCAGTATTAACATGTAACACATATGTTTAATGATAATATGCTTATGATTATCCTGATGAGAAAGAAGCATGAACACAGTACATACCCTTCTGGCAATTCATTTGGATCGTAAGGTATCGACGGAGGTATCCCGGTGGCATCGGTGTTCATGGGCCCTGAACCTCCACGGTCTCGCGAGATGAGGCTGATGACAATCTGTCCACGGACAGTCTCGCTGTCATCTTGACTCTGCCGTGTCAAGTCCAATCTTTGAACTGAAACATGAACGGCAGGTGTGCTCATACGCCGGCGAAATGTATAATGGCCATATTCTGGGGCTGTGTAACCGTAATCATTCACTCTAGTTGTAGAAATGTGCTAATTCCATGTGTAAGTGAGAGCATGACAGCAGGTCGGTAGTCAGTACGTTGTCCCGACCAGGTTGCTGGTACAACACACAGTGTGATACTCCTGATGTATGAAACAGTATGTATGTATCTAAGCTGTACACAAGCAAGCCAGCTAGCTGCAAGATGAGGGGCTTCCTCAGCTACTGACTAAGGGAGATCACACTGGGAGCTGCATATAGCTACAGATCGCGTTACAAACAGCCTGTGAGCTCCAACCAACTACCTCTCTTCTTCACTATAGCACCCTATCTTTACCATTAGAGCCAATTATAAACAAATATGTCAGACTGCTAATGAAGAGGGGGGTGATAAGATAATCCAGTCTGCTTTGTTTTAAGTTGAGTCACTGCAGGGACATGAGCCTTGATTCATGGTGATTACCCTTGAAGCACTATATTGAGGGGGCACTGTTGGTGTAAGTATTTACCTGTGTGAAGGTTCGAGAAAATTCAGGGTTGTGGCTCATTTAAGCAAATGCTTACCTAAAGGTTACGTTTTCTCTTGCTTGCTTTGTCAGGGTAACGTTTCAAGCAATGTTTTGCTACATTTTGTCAGGCTGGGCTTAGACCAATGACATTCAAAAACCTACTTGTTAAATATTTCTATTCAAGTTAAGTAAAGACTGATTAGTGCAAGCAGCTCTCCTTGTTTTACTGAAAATACAAAAAGATCCCACATGGCGGAGAATCACTTACAGCAGTAATAAAATCCTAATGTCATCCAGATGTCAAAATTCCAAAACAATTTTGTCAAACTTTTTCCATCTAAATAACTCACCAGATGAATTCATACTTTTATATGGATCTCTTAACTAGTAAATGACTTTCTTAACTGTTGAAATTCCACATTCTATGTCAGGTACACATTCACTTAACAAAATCGTCTCAAATAATCACTATAATATTTATTCAACATGTGCAAAATAAATTAAGCTGAAATGCAGCACAGAATTTTTGCAGAACCATCACAATGTATTTTAGGGTTAGAAAGGCAGACATTTCCACGGTAACAGATTTACTGCCACCTGATACCTTTCAGCTCTGTACTAAGTATAATATTCATCACTGTTTTTCATATATATGACATGTTTGCCCCTGCCACAAGATTAGCCCAACCCTCTTATTACTTGGGGCTCTACCTTGAAAGATGATCAGGTAATACAATAGATGAGTTTTCAGGGAGTTATATGAATGTATGTGCACATGCATGCATCTTTATCCAAATGTGTCCACTGTATTTTGTAGGTAACATCATGCATGTACAAATTAGTACAATTATATCAACTACAGTTTAAAGAGACTGGGAAACAAAGCCACTGTGTAGTTGTGACATGTTCACTACAGAAACTGTACAGGTGACAATAACTGAACAAGAGGTTGTTTCACATGAAAATAGTCCAACTTTAGCTACTAGTTAAAGTCTCAAGTCAAATTTAAAAGTTCATAAAGTCCAGCTAATAGAATCTGTACTTTACTGAAAAAGTGTAATCCCAAATATAACATGTTACATTTGATCACTTTTTAAATGGCATTGTGTATTTACAGCTAATGGTTGTCCCAAAATCTACTGTAGACATTAGAACAAAACCATAGGCAAGCAGACTCAAGAAACGTTTAAGACAGACTCATAATTCACATCAAAATTATCTCAACATTCATTATAATTGATTTCAATTACATGCATTAGCTGAGCATAAAAGACTGAAGGTAAGTTTACGAGACACTGGCCTTCAACTTGAGACTGAAGTTACAGACTAATACCATACATCACCAACAAACTGGTGTGAAGTCTGTGCACTAAACAGTCTGCATTCTACAGAATAACCATTGACAGTTCTAGGAGCAGCCATAGTTTCGTAACCAGCACATGGTGGGGCTAATGGTGGGTGTCACTCAATGAGCTATATATACTGAGGGGATGGGTACACAAACAGTACAGCTAAGTCCTAGCACACTTATGGTGTAAACAATGGCACACCTGTAAACATTAGATTCATAGTAATTTTATGGTTTCTGATGTTTTAATAAGTGAGTTTTACGCGCACTCAGTAATATTCCCGCTATATGGTGGCGGTCTGTAAATAATTGAGTCTGGACCAGATAATTCAGTGATCAACAGTGATGAGCATCGATTGGGATACGATGACATGTGAGCCTGACCACCGGATCCCATTAGTCACCTCTTACGACAAGCATGGGTTACTGAAGATCAATTCTAACCTGGATCTTCACGGGTTGAGTAAGTGGGTGAAGATTTAGGTGAATCAGAGAGCGAATACTGACGAACGCTAGAAATTTTTAGAGGTCCTGAGGTCCTTTTTGCCTTTTTCTTCATTTAAATGACTTGAATGTTGTGATCTTGTGAAGTCTTAAACATAAGTATGATGACAAGAATGCCTAAAAAATGCCCAGAAATGCTTTATATCCTTCAGCAAACCTTCATCACCTCATACTAAGCCCTTGTTAAGACCAACTATACAAGACAGGTCTATCTATACATATGTGACAATTTAGTGTGTGAGCAGCAGCCTATAGGAAGGTCTGAGACCGCAGCCTATACACATACAACCCTACTCGTCATCAAGATGATCCTAAGCTACAGACAAGTATCCTTGATATGTTCCGGGCCTTGAGCTGACTGCATTAATATGTACTCCAGTCTGTGGTACAACTGGTAGACATTTGCGAAGTGGCTATGTTAACTGTGTCACTATCAGTAAGGAGTCTGTTGGTGTTGTATTACATGGCAGTCAGAAGTATTCCAGCTGATCACAGCAGCCTGTAAGTAAACCAGTCTACACACACAAACCTGTGGTTGACAGAATGAACATCAATCTTTGATATAGGACACACAACAGTAACACATTAAGACTACTAGGTGTGACACGATGACCATGTCACGATACGAAGCGTATCACCATACATTTTCATGATACAATGTATTTACCTCAAACCATGAGGAAACTACCTCTCATATTAAATATTATTTCAAAGAAGGTTCAAAAGGAAAAGCAAGCTGTAGAAACAAGCTAGTAGCAGTTAGTTGTTGTGTGTGGAAGCAAGAGGGAGACAGTAGTAATGTCATTCACTGATGAACTCGTGCATCATCGACAAACTTTGCACGATACGCTACATAATGTTTATTATCAATTCACAGTTTGACGTATATCGATTATTATTTTGAGAAATATCTTAAGTTTCCAGTTTACTATGAAAGAGGACAGATTATAAAACAGTGGGCTTATAACATTTGTCTCTTGTAAAAAGATTTTTACAGAGCAACAAAAATGACTTGACTTGGTGTGTGTGGTTGATGAGTTATCTCTAACTACAAAAGATATGACTTTAATTACTGTTAACAGGTACCTGGGGACTGGTGAGCTATGGTATCAACTTGCCATCAACGTAATGGCTGCTTGTTATGCGCAAAATGTCAGGAATGCAGTATCGCGCTTGTATCGTGAAGTCCCTTGGAGACAGGGAGACTAAAGAGGGGGACTTCCTCTTAAAGGGGTTCATGTCCCTGATGTTTTACACTATGGTAGTATTATTTAGGTACTCCTTACAATCTGACATGTATAAGAAGGACTGCAGACTTACAGCCGGTGTCCTTCAGCTGCTGGATGACATTGGACATGATGCGCACACATCCCAGGAAGCCCGCACCCTGCTTCTTGTGGATCTTTTTGTGATTCCATACACTGATTGTGATGGAATCCTTCGTCCAATGTACCTGCAACAAACACAGTTCAGCTGAGTTCAAGACAAACAAATTAGACAAAGAATACCAACTTTTTGCCATTTCTACCCTCGAGCAGCACCTTGTCTGCCATGAACAATCCATGCTGTTTCTCATTTGTACAAAAAATAGCTCTTCATAGATTTTTTTTAAAAGCAACCTCACATTCTCCAATTTACATTAGCATAGACATAGGGTGATATTGTTCAGATAGTATTGTTCAACAACCTGAAACTCACTCAGGGACAACTAAGACTCCTGTAAGGATTCTATGTTCTGACCAACTTCTTTCACTGTTCCAGCAACAGATGATAATGTTTTATGTCTGTCGGTAATAAAGTTCATGTTTGCTCAAACATCAGTGTTGGTAACACATTTATTGAGATTGTAGATTGCTATGTTTAGATGTGATGTACATAAGCTTGATCATTATTAAATCATGTGTTTGTTTTTAATGCCACACTCAACAATATGGTTGTAGAGTGTAGGGATATGAACATTTAAGTGTAGTTACATCCCATTCCAAACACTGTGATCCTTCTTCTCACAGTAGAGAAACAGCAACCTAAAACCTAACACAATCATTTATTTATTTCTTGTTTCGCTCATGACAGGAGATTCTAAAAACATTAATGACTAGATTTTTATATTTTTCCACTTTTGTCAAAGAAATCTGGCATATTATATAAAAGAAGTAATATAACAATTCAGACTAAAACATTAAGAAATTTCCAGGTGCCTCAAGAATTCTTTAACACTGAGAAGATATCTTTACACTGACTAAGTTTGGTTTTACGCTTTTTAGCACATTCCAAGAGCATCACACACCAGCAATGGGCTTCACACATTGTGCCCATGTGGGGATTCGAACCGGGTCTTGGTGGCTAACCATTAGGCTACCCCACCACCCTCGATATCTTTAAGACTCATTTCTGGCTTTTTTATGTATGACTTTTATTTTCATGTTTGAGGTCATCTCTAGATACAGATCAACAGTTCTGGTTATATTTACTCTGCAAATAAAATACTATGAAGTGTTGCCCTTGTAAGTTAATGTGTCTTAATGACAACTGAGTATTGTAAACAGACTATATCTTTCAACCTGGCCAGTCCATCATCTGAAACTGTGAAAATATCCCCGACACTGTCTGGACAACTTAACACATTGAGCTATTCATCTCAACAGAGGTCTCTTTCACCAATGAAACCTAGAACACTTTGAATTCAAAGTTTACATTTACATGTGCATATCTTTCAATAACATTTCATCCTGACAACCAATTGCTAGATCTAATATGTTCTTCAAATATTTTGTTGGAGTCACAGCCAATCTCCAAACACAGCAAGCCTCCCTGGTCTTCTAACACTGGTTACTCACTGTCCTCACAGATTCTCCACACACTGAACATTAGGATGGAGATAAAACAGCACTATGTATACAAACGTGATGGTATCTATTATGAATACAGACAATATTATATTCCCCAACTATTTGTAGCACCAGCGTGGAGATGAAACAGGCTGATCACGTTAGCCCATAAAAGCTGATGCCATGAGGGGCAAAGACTGCTCCATAGGGACCATATTGGCTCTACAGTGCTGGATTGTGCCAGTGATTGAAGCCATCTCCCATGTACCCCAGTCTGCAATGTTTCTCCAAGTGGTTGCGTGACATTTAGTTGATTCACTCTCATCATCTCCCATTGAGTATGAAGCCAAAATAACATTCGATTCTTTCATGTCACACTTTTCTATGTAATGTTGGATGGAGCTGCAGACAGTGGCAAGAATGCCACATTTCTGTTTGGAAGACCCTCATCTGTTATCCCCTATCCACATCCACAGGAATGTAATGTGCTCCACTTAGTGCGTGGGCACCTGTCTGTGGTCCCGACCGCCCGACAGGTACAACCTTTGCACTGAAGTGGGGGGATACAGTGGTTTGATCATGTTTCCAACAAGTTCCGCAGAGTGCAAACTAAGTGTGGCATTTCAACAAAAGCATGTTCCTGAAGCTAGTTCTGAAGACCAACAGGATGCAACACTTTATGGAGTAAAGATTAGACGATGTATGCCAAAGTCTGGGTCATGGATTAAGAAATAATAACTTAAGTACAGAAAAAACAATAGGTCCTCATCTGCAGCAAGCTCCCATATTATTGTTGAGAGAATGCAGGGCCCAGATCAAAGAATATGCAAATCCAGTCCCACATTTCTTATTCAGAACAGCTGCCTATTTGTTATTACTATTTTGACTGACTGACTGAGTTTGGTTTTACGCTGCTTTTAGCAATATTCCAGCAACATCATGGTGGGGGACACCAGAAATGGGCTTCACACATTGTACCCATGTGGGGATTCGAACCCGGGTCTTCGGCGTGACGAGCCAACGCTTTAACCACTAGGCTACCCCATCGCCCCATTACTATTTTGACAAGATGGAGATAATCAAATGTTTATCCACCCCACACTAAGGTATTTCAGAAACCTTTTCTACAAATCCATGAATCAAATATTAAGTGAGTGAGTAATCTGGGTTATTACCAGGCAGCGGTAAACATCACAGAAATATCATGGTCTGTCAACTGTGGATCACTCCTAGTTTCGAAACACTGATGTCGAGGCTTTGAAATTAACATAAATCTGTTCAAGGCAAAAATAGATTCAGATCAAGTGACAATTTCCTTGTGGATGGACTCTTTTGCCATTAGTCGAGACCTCAGATTATTTATGAGGACGAGTGAAAATGAAATGAATTACTAACTAATTACAGAATGCGACAAATATCTGCATACTTCATGATAATACATGTGAAAATACCTATCACCTAAATTCAAAGTCAGGGAAAAAAAGAGAAAAGATTATCTTTTCTGTGTAATTATTTTTTCTACTGTAAATGTTATCTTAAAATCAGATTTAATATCTGCCATCAGGTCTGATGACCAGCATGTGTAGATAATTAGGTAATCAGCTCTAAGTACAGCAGAATAAGCGAGTATCTTTTCACGCTTTTAGCAACATTCCAGCATTAACTATGTGATTTATGACAACAATGGAACTAAATACACATAGATGAGTCATGATTATGTATCTACTTGCATTTGTACACCAGAACCTATCAATCAACACATACATCATAGATTATGCTATGACATTAAATGTAATAATGATACAAGTAACACCTTGGACTGAAGAGGACTATTTTGGTCCTCAGTAAATGCTGAGTGTTTTAAAAGATGGCAGAAAGTGTATGCGACTCATACCTGATCACAGACAGTTTGAACATTGTTACGTAACAGGTACTATACTGAAAGATCAAGAATCAAAGTTTGGGGGGTTGTTTTGTTTTTTTTAAACATTTTTTTAATCTAGGCATGCTCAGATGTGGATATTCGACACTAAATCTCCAATAAATGTAAATTTCGATCCCCTAAAAATTCTACCATAGTTTTGTAGAGAAAACTCATATGTCACTGATGACAAGACAAATGGATGGTGCTCTAATGATTAGTTTTACAATACTGTATTAAATGCAACATTAAAGTACATAAGAATTTGTGGAATAAATATTTGACAAAAATTCTTATTTTGAACAAAATATCTATTTATCCCAAACAGCCAGCCTCTAGGGTTTATACCTAAGATCAGTTGGCAGAACACCCACAGACAAGGCACATAATTTAAACGGCATCGCCATACTCAGCTTGGGAGGACTAGGAGAAATGTTATTATTCCTGTCTGAAATCTGAGCCTAGAAATCAACTTTCAGTTTTACAAACTAAAAAGGGAGCCAGTTTAGCATCTTTCCCCCATAACGAACATGACAAAAGACAACAAAGGAGAAACATGTTGTTCTAGAACAGAGACAATTATGTAGGAACTCACAGGTCATAATGCTGATTCCACTTTGGATCTAGTGTGTTCCTGCAGGTGTCAGTTGAATGGCACTGGCCTGAGCCATCAACGCTGATCTTGGCAAATGGATCAGGCAATCCTGGAACAACAAATAATGCATCTCATGACTACAAATAATATCGATATCAAAGTTACCATGATATCAAAGGAGACAAAAAATCAGTTGTAAATCCCCAGATCAAATGTTGATCTCATTGGTTAAGTCGTATTCCATACAGCTAGACAATACACCAGGACAAGTATGCACCTGTTTCATGATCCTAATTGCGACATAAATGAGGCCAGCAAATATTTAAAAAATAAACTAATGATTTATCAACATGTTGCTGGCAGTTTACAAATATTGCTTGTAAAGATAATATCCTAGTCTGAAACCATTGTAAGAATGTATTCATTTCAGGTATTTATAGCACTGAAAGCAGTGACTGAGAGGACTGGAAGAGTTATCTCCCTTTGCCTGCAGCCGCCCACTGGCACTTCACTCACTACTGTTTTTCAAGCACATTAAGAGACAAGGAATGTCATATCATGAAAAATGTACTTACTGAAAAAGTCCTTCTTGCCCAAGTTTTTGGCACACAATACTGAAATGAAAAAGACCTAGGATTAACTTTCAACATATTAAGTCATTGTACAGATGTTCAGCCATTCACATGAGTAAGCATAATTACATCATCATCATCATCATCATCATGAAAACATTTATATAACGCCAATTCCAGTCCAAAAGTACTGCTCAGTAGCGCTCTTACATACATACACTGTGATGCCCTACCAATGTGTTAGCTCTCTATAGTAACAAACAAGTGAAACATTTACACAAAAATGTTGGCAGCAAATGTCTGCTGCTCTCAATGTTTATGGAGAAAAGACTGACAGGTATCTGTATTGGAATAGATACTGCCAAATATTTTGTATATATTGTAAGCTGGTGTATTAGACAGTGATTGACAAAGATTTAAATGTTTTTAATTTCCTTTCACAATTTACAGTTCCATAAAGACAGAAACGATTGGCCAACTCTACAGGGTAAGAAACCTTTCAAAATTGACTACAGGACCAGTGAGTGGACAATAATTAGTGGTCCTGTCTGCACTTCACCGTTCCAAAATAACATTCGTACATTTACTTAACTATCAATACAAAATTCACTGGCCACCAGAACTAGGGGCAACTATTGATGGGGAAACAACTATTGCGATAGAGACAGTCTATTGCAACATACTATTGTGATAGAGACAGTCTATTGCAACATGCTATTGTAATAGAGACAGTCTATTGCAACATACTATTGTGATAGAGATAGTCTATTGAGACCAACTATTGCAATAGTTTTTTTCTCTCCTTGAATTGTCTCATTTGAAGTCATTTCCCAAATGAACGTGTAGTTAGTAGGAAATAAAAACAACCTGAAGTAGTTTCAGTCTCTTTTAATAACTGACAAGAAACTTGAAACCCAGATCAAGTTTTTTTAAGAGGTAACAGTGACGGATAACTCTAAATCAACGTGAACGAATCTTGTACTTCCTGCATTTTGTCCTGCGCATTTATCAACGGAAGAGAATTACTAAACTATCGATAGTCACACATACTATCTATGCAACGATAGTTTTTCTTTCTACCATCAATTAATTGCTATTGGAGACTCAACAATTGCAATGCATCGATAGTTCGATGCATCGTTACAGACCTAACCAGAACCACTGCAAACTAATCATTTAGTGGTCCTGATGAATTTTCACTAGCCAGGGACCATAGGACCAGTATAATTTCCACACACTGCTCTAATCTAAGCTCTGTGTAACTCTATCATTTCATGAAAGGGATATATCATTTGGAAAACTAAGATGTACATGTATTTCCAAAATGACAAACATCTTTTTACACGATAAATTTATTTCCCGAAATTTTATTTCCAAGTTTAGATTTTATGATCTGTATAATAGAAATTTCCAAATCATACATATATATTTACTTCATTTGCATTTGATTTTGCACATACAAAATAGCAAAATTCCTACCTAGCCACTACCAACTACAAAGTGCTAGAATATGCTGATAGTGCAGAACTATAAATACATAGCAGAAGAAGAAAACTTGGAATCCCCATATACCGCAAATTGTTTCAAATGACACTGGGTACAATGTGTGAAGCCCATTACTGATATCACCCGCCGTGATATTGCTGGAATATTGCTAAAAGCCATGTAAAACCATACTCACTCAAACAATACAAATTGCAATATATTTTCTGAGAACCGCTATATTAGATAGCTATGAAACCTAATTTTGTAATTGCTGTATATATTATGTATCTACAGGGCCTTAGTATGTAGAAAATAGGATCTGCATGTACAATCAGTGTCACTCACTGTCAAACACTGTAGCGCCAAATATATTGCAATACATATCATAATAGATGTACATGAATTGCAGAAAAAATAACAAGAGGCCAACAGCAACAGCTCTGACTGTGTATAATCATCAGGACAATAGACAGTACATAACCAATGGCATATTTCAGTGCAATAATACATATCTGTTAGTAGCCAATCAGAAGACTGCAGAGGACAAGCAGGTGTGGTCATCATTGTTTTGGTTTTATAGCAATTTATACAGTCACAGCTAGACAAACCAGTAACGTGATCAATGATCCATGCTATAGGGTATGGGGATGTTTAACAAGCCAGATGCTGCAATGTAACCACCAGATCTCAATTCATGTAGGTTCTAACCACACGTGAAGTTTGCAAGACTCATTTTACTGAGTGTCATTTACACACTGCTGTACGTAAATGAGCCCACGAGATGCATCAATATTTGTAATCACTGAAACATCTGAGGGATGCAGCGGAGCACACAAACTGAGTACATGTTGTAACTGGGAAGGGAACGCACAGTCTGCTATTTCCACAAGTCACATGACTGAAAAACACAAACCAACAACAACACTCCTCTGAAGTCTGGCACGCTTAAAAAGTCCACTTATCTTTTCCCTTCTATTATGAGAAATCAATTAACAATTCATATTTTCAAATCACTCTAATCTGTTCAAAGAACAGACTTTCATCAAGTGGAAAAATCTGAAGAAAATCATGTACCATGTATTAGATAGATGTCGAACAGGACAAAGTGTTTGTCCAACAACTAAAAAGCTACAAGAGACAATGTCTTCTCAATTTCTAAAATCACAACATTCCACACAAGCATACACCATTATAAAGCAAACATGAACATGTTCAAGGAAGTACCGAAGAGCTGAGTAAATATCCTCTGCAGGCCTATACAAATGACGTACTAGAACATACCCTTCACTATAATGCAAGTGAGAACTTATGGAATTCAAGTAGGCGTGATCACACTGCAGCCCTGGGGAAGACAGCAATCTCATGTCATACAGGCTTCACAGCTCACTTAGACATGTAGCGTGATGCAGTCATTAATGCTTTATGTTTAGGCTACACATATGCCTTGTTAATCACATTCTGTAGTAACAGTAGACACGCATTCCTATCTAGGGATTACTGCTGTCAAACAGATTAACAAGACCATTAAGTAGATGTAAGCTGGGTCATCGTGACATTCGATGCAAAGGTGGAGAAAGATTCCTACTATTCAGTTCTGTTAAATGGGAAGAACAAAATGTCTTCAGGGTATGCATGTTAGTTCATGATGTTGATGCAAACAGAAAGCTTTCATCTGCAACAGATGGTTCAAATTAAACTGAAATGTGAGCAACAGGATATCTTGAGGGCATGTAATAATGTATATTTTCACAGATGATATAGTTCTCATACGCACCTGAGTATAAATTCATACTGCACACAGATGGTTCATTTTGATTTCACAGGTCATTCATAACTTTTTCTCATTTCAACCAGTAGTAGAGGATCCAGGAAGAATTTTGTTCAGTGCATGCATTCATGTCTGTAAGTTCAGGGTTTTACATGACGCATGATTCCTGCATATTTGACGCAACAATTTTGTAAACGACTCTCAAAATATTATCATACGAGTCAAGCTTAACGCAAGTTTTATGGGTGGCCCTCACAATTCAGTTCCATAAATCGATTTTGATAAGCAAAAAATGATATTGTTTGATGATAGTTTGACTTTTACAGAAATGTCAGATTGTTCCAAAGAACTCAGAGGAGACAGTAATCCTGGCTGTTTGAATTGAAAAATGCTGTAGTTTCATTTGGTGGTGTGACATAGACTGAGAATGATTAACACAAAGAAATATTAACATTTTCATGACTCACAATATTTATTTTTGGGAGTCATTTTCAATATCTGGGAGTCACCATGACTCCCATTTTCAAAAGTAAAACCCTTTAAGTTAATGTCACACCAATCCTATGCAAAATGATGGCAGTCTGAAATCAATCCAGACTAGGCAATCAAGTGATTGACATCAAATCCATCTATCTACACCATTGGGATACTTTGCCATCAATTCAACTAAGTCACTGAGCCCTAATACTCAATCCCTTTAGTTGCCCTTTACAGTGAGCATAGGTTACTGAGAACCAGTTTTGTTGCCCAGTAACCCCACATGTATTTAGTATCTTTATCTGAGGAATCCTACAACTCCTGTAACATGAATAAGAGCGACCAGTTTGTTATTTGCTATTTTTAACTGACACGGTCATGTAATATCGTACTTTGAAAAGTCCATAGTGCAAATCGTCACTTCTGTGCTGTTTAGGTGCTCTCTAGTTAGCATCTGTACATGTGCTTCCCCTAGAGTCACATAGTGCAGACCTGTGCATTTATAACTGTGTTAGTGGAGAGTTCATGTAGATGTGATGCATTCACACAGTAAGAAAAGCTCTGCAAAGACATTCATGTAACAATGCTGAAAATGCTGTATCGAATCATGCAGTGTTATTATACTTACTATTGGTATATCATGTTTCTTCATGTGTATTTGTACACAGGCAAGAAATGGAATACTAATTTGTTTAGGGTAATTTTGTTTGCATATTTTCAGCAAATATACAGCTTGTCTGGAGCTCTGTCCATGAAACATGCCACATCTGATATTACTTGGTATCGATGCATCTGATACACTGTAATAGAAACTTTAATCTTGTTTTGGCATGTTACATCTTGCTTTGATACAAAAGATCTGTAAAATGGTGTTATGCACTTCCTCTAAACCAAATAAAGATATGAAATATCCCCGACCAATGTTGGTCACAACAACATCAGATCAAAATATTTTGTCAAATTGCCTTTACTTTCTTGACAGCACTTGTCATGTTCAATTGGTCCTTTCAAGAGATTCATGAAAAATAACTAGTCCCTTTAGGGTTTTACTAATTGTAACCCAAGTCATAATTCTATTTCAGTCCTTCTATCTTGAGTCGACTGTAAGATAAGATAATGATTTACACAATGCTTAAAAATATCACATCATATGAGTGAACTGGGTTTAGCTCCCTGTTGAAAACCATCCTGCTCATATAGTGAATCTTCTTCTTGGATGAAATCCCCATAGTGGGCTAGGGCCACAGCTTTGATTTGTAACACTGAAATTTATGGATTTGTGAGGCAATTTTACATCAGAATATATGTTCAA